CAAATCGGATCTGACTAGTACAGGAGGAGATTGTCCCTCCTTTCCCGGCAGAGCATCTGGTGGATTTGAACTGTGCACCTGTGGGATTGCAGTGCAGCTTCTTGCCACTAGGCCACCAGAGCTCCCCTTCTTTCTCCAAGTTTTACACTCTGATAGTCTGTTGCCTAGGCACTTTTCTTTCCAAATGAGGGTAACTTGAGGGCAGTGGTTGTATTCCTATTGCTCAGCACAAGGCTAATGTGCTTAATTAATTAGCCAAATAACTAAGCACTTAATCAATGGAATGAATTTTACCCCTCCAAGTGGATGCCTTTAACTTTAAAAAAAAAAAAAAAGAAATCTTGTTTTATTGTCAGCTTTACATTTTTGTCAAGTGCAAGACTGGCCAGTTGTTTTTTTATAATCTTCAGTAGAATTTTGCTTGCAATGATATTGTTCTATAGTTCCCACACTCTATTGGGTCACCCTTCTTTGGGATGGGAACAAATATAGATCTCTTCCAGTCAATTGGCCAAGTGGTTGTTCTCCAGATTTCTTGGCACAACATGGTGAGCACATCCAGGGCAGCATCTGTGAGCTGAAATATGTCAGTTGGTATACCATCTATTCCTGGGGCCTTATTTTTTGCTATTTCCTTCAAAGCAGCCTGAACTTCCCCCTTCATCATCATAGGCTCTTGATCATATGTTGTTTCATGAAATTCTTCTGTGTCTGCCAATTCTTTTTGCTGCAGTGACTCAGTATATTCTTCCCATCTTCTTTTAATACTTTCTGGATCATATAAAGCCTAAAGCATCCTTGATTATAGCAACTCGAGGTTTGAATTTGTTCTTCAGTTCCTTAAGCTTAAGAAATGCTGAGCGAGTTCGGCCCTTTTAATTTTCTGACTCTAACTCCTTGCACATTTCATTATAATATTTTACTTTGTCATCCCGTTGCTGCCTTTTGAAATCTTCTATTCAACTCTTTAGTATCTTTAATTCTTCCTTCTGTTTTAGCTTCTCTGCACTCCAGTGCAATTTTCAGAGTCTCTTCTGACATTCATTTTGGTTTTTTCTTCCTTTTCTGTCTTTGCAATGACCATTTGCACTCTTCCTGGATGATACCCTTGATATCCTCCCACAACTCATCTGGTCTTGGCTTATTAGTGTTCAAGGCCTCAAACCTGTTCCTGAGATGGTTCTGAAATTCAGGTGGGATAGACTCAAAGTCATATTTTGCTTCCCATGGATTTGGTTTAATTTTCCTCAGCTTCAGCTTGAACTTGCATGAGTAGTTGATGATCTGTTTCACAATCAGCTCCTGGCCTAGTTTTCACAGCTGATACTGAGCTTCTCCAGCGGTTCTTTCAACAGATGTAATCGATCTGATTCCGATGCATACCATCAGGTGAAATCTACCTGCATTTATGTCTCTTAAAAAAACGTATTTGTAATGACTAAGTCATTGATTGTGCAAAATTCAATCATTCTCTCTCCAGCTCCATTTCTGTCATAGAGTCCATATTCTCTAACTACTGAATCTTCTTCTCTGTTCCCAACTTTTGCATTCCAGTCACCCATTACTATCAATGCATCTT